ATGGCTGTTTTGTTTACACTTTTTTTAAGAATTCCTATAAATTAAGTTGTACAAGCTAAAATTACCGTAAATATAAATTTTGACAATCGAGGTTGATTTGAGTGCCATTTTGGAAATTTTTATTTAACTACGTTGAATTATTAATAAACTAGATAAATTAGGCTTTAAAATCCCTGTTTCCTAGTGTTATTTGCTACTTTATTGGAAAATAAACCAAGAAAATAATCAAAAATACATTAATTTTTGTTAAATTAGTTTTTTATTCATTTAAATTATTTATGTTGTGTTAAAACAATTTTTGCATATAATATATTATGTGCTTATTTTACCCACTTAACCTATAGGTATATTGGTAATTTTAAAAGCTTAAAAGTCCGGTCTCCACTAACAACACATTTTTCTTTCAGCTCAGCGTACAAAATCTTGTCTTGCCCGCTGTTTTACAAAGTCTACGTCGTAGTTGTCGCAATTCAACAGCAAAATTTATCTGGATGAAAAAGCTCGCAGCAAAAGTTCGTGTTTAACTTGCACAGCGCTTTTTGTTGCAAAACATATTCATTTGCGAGAAATAAAAACTGTTTTTCTCCTCTGCACAACGCGTGTATTTGTTTTGTTTCAGCGATGCAAATTAACTGAAGGACTTTGTGGAGTTGGTCATTTGCGAAATTTAAATTTTGTATTTATTTAAATGGAAAAGTGATGTCTGTTTTAAAATTTAACAACGTGTTTTGACATAATATACCTACATTTACTTTTAGTTTAATTACTTTGTTATCTATTTCATTATGAGCTTTTGTACCTAAATAAATGTTTAAAATGACTTCAAATAATGGCATCAAATTATTCAATAAGAGTTTCCGGATATTGTATTTAAATAATTAAACAATTGATTGATACTATTTTTCTTATTACATTTATATACATAGATAACTGTTTTATAAATGTTTACTAAAAATCATATTTTAGAAGTGAGGGCTTTTGTGTTTAGTAATGAAAGTAGTGATTACAAAACTAACTAAAAAAAACCAAAAACGTTGTAGATGTAGAATGTAGATGTAGAATTTAGAAATGCAAACGTTCAAACTTAAAATTACTTGAAAAATATGACAGATTAAAACAACAACAAAAACAAAGAGTGATATGAATAATTAGATTAAAGGTAAAATTCATTTTGCCTATAGAAAGAGTTTATTTAATTTTTTCTACTCCCAAACGCCCTTTATCGTACATGTTTCCATGACACTAAGTGACCTTTTAAATATATATTGACAAGTTGTGGCTTTATGGTGCTTTAGTCACGGGCTGAAGTTAGCAACAGGTTTTTAGTCACGGGCTGAAGTTAGTTTTAAGTTAGTTGACAGTTGTCAAATGTCATACAATCGTTTAAATAAAGTGCCTTTTTTGTAAAATAATACTAAATGTGAAAATTATTTTATTATCTCAATACAAAGGTTTATATGAAAATTGTACTGACCTTTTAATTTCGCCGGCAGTAAACAATAACTTAAATTCGGGCACGGACTCCACTGTAAAGTCCTCATAAAACATTTTCTTTACTTTCACTGTGAAAAACTGTCAATTTTCAAGAAATACATTTCGATTTATGACCTTTATAATCTGTGTTTATAAAATGTAAAAATGTGACATTTGACGGTGATACACAGATTCCCCTATTGTTTCATAGATGGCGCTCTATACAAATTTTTGATTTAAATCATTTTAAGATAATAATAAGTATTTGTCGTAGAAAAAGTATAGTATGCATCTCGTTTATAAACTTTTCTATACACTCATTAAATTAAACTCGTGTATAAAATGGCGTTTATCAAACTTGATACATAATATACTATTAAGTGTTCATAGTAAATTATTATGTTTTTAATTATAAATGAAATTCTGGAACTAAAGTTTTACCAAAGAATTCATTTGCTACGTATATTTGTTGGTCTAATACACAATAATAGTTATACAAACATAACCTTAAAATAAAACAATTTTATATTTGTGTCTAAATTAAAACGCCGACAACTGCATATTAAAATAGTAAAAAATCTATATCTACAAATTCATGGAAACATAATATTATATATAATACATAATATAATACCCGTTTTTGGTATTTTACCGATGAGAGAAGACTTTCTTAATCAAAGCTTTTACTAATTCATAATGCAGTTGTCGCTGTTTGCATTTAGACGAATTTAATTTAATTTATAATTGTTATCGAATTTAAATGTTTCCAACTTTAACTTAAATAATTAATAAAGTGTGTATTAATTGCATCTAATCTACCATTGATATTTTGCAGGAACTGTATGAAATTTATTTCTTTATTTGGATTTTCGCGTATAATGCAACAAATTTGATAAACGGCATTTTAGACATAAGTTTTGATTGGGCACGAGTTTAATAAAAGAGTGTCCAGAGATTATTAAACAAATTACATATTTTACTTTTTTTACAACGAACACAAAAGTTAAAAATTTTTTATCATTAACCTCATTTTTTATTTTGATAACTGCAACTTCAGCTTGTGACTAAAACTCCATAAAGTCGCAGCTTGTCAATGTTTATTTAAAATATTACTCAGTGTTATGGAAACATGTACGATAATGGATGTTTTAAAGATGGGACAATTATTAGTTATTTATAAATATATACACTGTTATATATATATATATATATATATATATTTATATATATATATATATATATATATATATATATATATATATATATATATATATATATATACATATATATATACAGTGTGACCCATTTGTTTGCGACTCACCCCTATAATTCCTTTATTTATTGTGCGATTTTAACCGCATTTGTTTTAAAGTCTAGATCTTAATAAACTGTATTTTTGAAGCAAAAATGCCATATTTTTACAAAATACAAGGCCTACTATGTCAGTTTTTAAGAGTAAATTTTTAAAAATTTATATTAGCGATTTTTTTAAACAAAATCTAAGCACGGCACTGGATTCACCACCCCTCAAAACGACCCTATACTAAATTTTATTGAAAAATTTTAAGTAGAAAAATACACAATAATAACTACAAAAATTTATTTTGTCAAGTTATCCATGAAAAAAACATTGAAATAAAATTAAACTAATAGTAAGATGGTACTATTACTATAATTTTAATTTTATTTCAATGTTTTTTTCATGGATAACTTAACGGAATACATTTTTGTATTTATTATTGTGCATTTTTCTACTTAAAATTTTTTAATAAAATTTAGTAAAGGGTAATTTTAAGGGTTGGTAAATTCAGTGCCGTCCTTGGATTTTGTTTAAAAAAATCGCTAATATGAATTCTTAAAAATTTGCTTTTAAAAACTGACATAGTAGGCCTCGTATTTTGCTCCAAAAATACAGTTTATCAAGATCTATACTTTAAAACAAATCCGGTTAAAATCGCACAATAAATAAAGATTTTATAGGTCGCAAACAAATGGGTCACACTGTATATACAGTGTGTCCGTAAAGTCCCGGAACATGTGATTATTTTGAAAACGGTAATTTTTTTTAAAAAACGCTGAAACACGCCAACTTTGATATTTTTCTAGCAATATTTTAGCATATGTAGTTGTTCCAAATTCTGCCGCCACAATTGATGTGCCACATCTGGGGGGTTACATAAGAAAATTTTTGAGAAAATCAGGTTTTTGCTGCCGAATGAGATTTTGGTATTTTGTCAAACTTACACAATCTATGCGTTGCTTAATGTTTTTTGGAAAGCCAATCAGAGCAGTTGCTCAAAGTGTCCACCGTAAACTATTTGGAAATGGAACAGCCTGTCTACAAACGAGCGTTGTACGTTTGCCAGTACCGCTGGAGTGATCATCTGGATCTCGGCTTGAATGCGGTGTCTTAGGTCGTCCAAATTTTAAGGCCTGTTTACATAGACGCGGTTTTTAAGAGGTCCCCATAAAAAGAAGTCTAAAGGGTTCAAATCAGGCGATCGCGCTGGCCACTCAATTTGACCCCTTTGACCTATCCAGCGATTGGGAAAGACCTGATTTAAATAATCCCTTACTAGCAATGCATAGTGCCCCGTAACAGCGAATAAGTTCGTCAAAACCAAAATCTTAATCAGCGGCAAAAACCTACTTTTCTCAAAAAATTTCTTATGTAACCCTCTACATGTAGCATATCAATGTACTCAGGACGACGGTAGCTATCCAAAAATGCAACAAAAATTAAGGGTTGTAATTTAAAAAAACCTTACTTCGATTGGGGCGCCGCTACGCGGCAGATTTTGGAACAACTACATATGCTAAAATATTGCTAGAAAAATACCAAAGTTGACGTGTTTCAGCGTTTTTTTAAAAAAAATACCGTTTTCAAAATAATCACATGTTCCGGGACTTTACGGACACACTGTATATTAAATTATTTGCCGAGGAGATAGCGTAGGCAAATAACCACGTGAGTGATAAAAAATGTCTTTAATGCCTAGGTGCATTTTAATTTTATCCGAAATCACATTTATTTACTAATAATTAATATTGATAATTAAATCAAATGTCATTTGATGATCAAATTAAATGTTATTTGATTTTTTAATCTAATTAATAAAATTAACTTATTATTTTTATTAAACAACATCCGCGACTGTGCTTTTTTTAATATTATTAAGTTGCTGCTAAGGAACAGTAGACACATCTTAAAATGTATAATGGGTTCTACTTTACTGCCGATTTCTTTTACTTTACTGCCGTTTTCCGATAAAAGACTTTTTTAGACCAGTTTCTTGAAAACAAATCCATTTTTCTTTATAAATTATTTATTTTTCTATTAATAAAGTTCCTTTTTAATTAAATCCATTAACACCAATGTTTTAATTATTTTAGTATAATATTCTAAATATATTTGCAGTTTTGAAAAAAAACATAGAATAGATAAAATTGTTGGTTAGGCAAACATCAAAATGACTTTAGTAAAATAAAAAACACATAAAAAAATCAAAAGTAAAAAATGTATAAGAATGTCCGTAAGCTGTTTGGATAAAGCCTACAGAAAATTACTGCTATCAAAATACTTTACAAAAGGATGGGGCAAACCTAACGACATATTAAAGCTATTCGAGTTTAGAAAAATAATATCCCACAGAGAATCATGCCATAAGCTTGTAGACGCTGATCATCCTATAACAATTCTAACCAAAACCTCTTTGAAAGATTGCAGTGTATATGATGGTACATTTCTTAGCCCCATGGCGAAATATCTGCCCAGTATGATGTCCAATAAGGTGAAGCAAGCCTATTTTCAGTTGGTACTCCCTAAAGTGTGGCTGGATGATTTTAAGCCTGTTTGCATACACCTGGCTGGAACTGGTGATCATTTTTTCTGGAGGCGTAGGAATTTAATGGCTAAACCTTTATTAAAACAAGGTATAGCTTCTGTGATACTAGAAAATCCTTTCTATGGGTTACGCAAACCCACTAATCAAGTTAGATCTTCTTTGCATTATGTAAGCGATATTTTTATCATGGGCGGATGTTGCATATTGGAGAGTATAGCTTTAATGCATTGGTTGGAGGGACAAGGTTTTGGACCACTGGGTTTAACAGGGATTTCTATGGGGGGTCATATGGCCTCTCTAGCAGCCACAAACTGGCCAAAACCTATTGTGCTCGTGCCGTGTTTGTCGTGGTCCACAGCGTCATCAGTTTTCACAGAGGGTGTGATGAGTGAGAGCATCAATTGGGATATGTTGCAAAGACAATACGTTTCTAATGATAAGTACTATGACGCTCTAGCTAAGCGATGTAATATAGTCGACAAACCGTTCTGCCACCGGTTAATGAAAGAATTTAACGTAGACGAGATTTGGGAAGACAAAGACATCAAAACACCTTTTGACTTTCTGAACTTAATGAACTCTTCCATGACCAATATGCAAAAACACAAAGTGAGCAAACGCGAGGCGAAAAAGCGCGACAAAGAGGCGGTGTGGTTTATGAGGGGCATGATGGACGAGTGCACTCACTTGAAGAACTTTTCTACGCCGGTGGACACCTCACTTATAATAGCTGTATGTGCTAAAATCGACGGTTACGTGCCCAGGGGCGGACTCTCGGATTTGACGTCCTTGTGGCCCGGAGCTACGGTCAGATATATCAAAGGGGGCCATGTCGGGGCGTGCATATGGCACAGGAAAATGTTCATTAAATGTATCGAGGAGGCTTTCGAGAGGGCTAAGGTAAAGCTCGGGCCTCCGGTTGAGCATTCTCCGTCTTTAAATATTTAGCTTATTGAAAATAAAGTATTCTGTAGGATTATGATGGATTTTTATTGATGCATGTTGAATATTTTAATGTTTTTGTTCCGGGAGATTCAGAGCTTTATATTTTATTGCATATAAAGGATAACTTTTACATTTTATAGGGTTTTAAAAACTATTTTGTATTTTATATATTTTGTATTCTTAGACAAAAAGCCTTTGTTGTTATCGTTTATTTATTTATTCATTGTACCACAGGGTCCTGTCTTATTCTTAATTTATATTAATGATGTAAAAAAAATCACAAATAATGCTTCTTTCACATTGTATGATGATGATACATCATTAAAAATATCAGCGAAAAATGATAATTTATTAGAAAAAACATGTAATGGGGTGCTCAAGAAGCTTAATAACTTGTATGGTAAAAATTTATGATATTTTAATCCTGAAAAAACAAATTATGTCAGATTTCACAATAGACAGAAAATGATCAATAAGGTTAATCTAAATATTGAAACTTTTACCAAAATTTTTGGGAGTGACAATTGACGAATGCCTTACCTGAAAAAAACACTGCCATTATTTGGTCTCTAAGTTACATCATACATGTTTAGATCATTAAAGGACATATTAAATCAGCATAAATTAGTTAATCTGTATTATGCGCAAGTAGACTCGAAGTTGCGATATAGCATATGCTTTTGGGGGAGGTCTACGAACTCACAAAGTGTATTTATTGCACAAAAATTAGTGTTAAGATGCCTAATTGGTGTCAAATCGACCTATTCATGCAGAAATATTTTTAAACAATATAATTTATTAACTTTGCCCTCTCTTTTTATTTTTGAGGTATCTGTGTATGTACATGTGAATAAGAATGGATTTAGGTTAAAGTCTTCCATACATGAACATAATCTTAGAAATAAAAATCATTATCAAATACATTTTGGTAGGTGTTATATCACGTCAAACGCTCCATCCCGACTTGGTCTTAAAATTTATAACGCACTTCCACCAGATATAAGAAATTTTAAGAAAATACAATTTTTATAAAAAGGTATTAAAATAATTTCTTGTTGACAAATGTTTTTACAGTATTGGCAATTTGTTAACTAAGTAAAGGAAGTTTGCCTTATATGTCTTCAGATATATTGTTATTATTGTTAGGATAGGCTTTATTTTTTTTTTGTATTTTACCATATATTTTGTAATATGAATGTATTTATATTGACTTGTTCTATATCCATTGCGATCCTGAGAATAAATAAATATTATTATTATTATAATAATATTATTATTATTATATTGAAATTATCGTTTAGGACCATATACAGTATACACCCTATTTTTTATTGCAGATTCGGATCATTCGACTAAAAATAGGTAGATTTTGTCTAAAACATTTTTTCATATTTGTAATAGATGGCGCTGTAATAAAAAAAATCAATTTTGTTCGATTTCTCTTCTGTATACGATTCTCCAATAATTTTTGAATAAAATACTTGGTTTTATTTTTTAAATTTATTTATTTTTTCGACTTCAAGGCATTTATTAATTCGCATTTCGTTTTAAAATTCTGCTGCTCTGGGATATTCCCAAATCTCTAGATAATTCTAGTGTGCTTGCATGAGGATTAGTGGCCGTTGCTGCTAATACATTAATTTCATTATTTCCATCTGTGACTGTTGCTTGACAAACTCTGTTTTTCGATTGAACACTCCCGTTTGTAGTAAACTGCTTGACTGTACGGTGAAATGAAGTACGTGATCGAATTTTAACCGGAAAACGCTGAGCGTAGATATTAACAGCATCATCAAGATTCCTGCCTGCTTCTCCATAAATCAAAACCATTTCTATTTTTTCTTCCACTGTTAAAAAATCCATTATGAATAACTGCTTAACGAATGGAGGTATTTTTGTTTGCAATTAATCTTCGAACTAAATTGATTAAATAATGCTGAACTATGTATAAATAGTTTCTTTATACCACAGACTGTGCTTTATACCTCAATAATAATTATTATTTATAACTAAATACCATTTTATTATACCTCAATTAGGATTAAATTAATTAATTGACAAAATAATGTTTTTTTACCTTAAATGAGGTATTTAGCGATTCCACTTGACAAAAATGTATAGTGTTTAACACAGACCACCAAAACAAATGGACGGATTTGTTTACGTTTAAAAAGCGAGTAAAGCATAGTTTCACATTCTAAACACCGTCGAAAAAAATACGGCTTCCAACGTTGTCAGAAGTATAGATTTCACGCCTTTTTGGACGTTCATCATAACATAATGAACATTAATAATTACCAGTAATTCGTTTGAATAATAAAAAAATTGTAAAAAGGATTTGTTCATCATTTTCTTTAGATATTTTTCTCTATTTAAAGAAAGTAAATCATTTAATAATTATTAAAATTAAATATTAACAACGTTGGTAAATTCGTCATATTTGACAGCATAGAAAAAGGTTATGTTCTGTGGGTTGACAGCTTGTTGTTTTGTGTTTTCGTTTGTGTATTTCTATCGTGTTTAAGTTAATTATGGAGTTTAAATACATTATTTTTTACTAAAAATAACAAAACATGGAAATATCGTTTGTAAGTACCTACCTACTTATTTTTTTAATCCCAATACGTCACTGGAAGAAAACATAAAATTCTATCGCCAATTTAACGCTTATACTGTGACCGTTTGATGACATCACTGGAAGAAAACATAAAATTCTATCTCCAATTTGACGCTTAGACTGTGACCGTTTGTTGACCGCAAACAAATCGTTGTTATTGAATGGCAATGCGCCGTCCATTTGTTTTGGTGGTCTGTGGTGTTTAATAATTTCTATGATTCTACGCTCGGTAAAAATATACTATTTTTTCCGTAATAATGATAAACATTTTAAATTCCATGCTTAGCAACGGGAATAATGAACTCATTATTCACGTTGTCAGGCATCAGTGATTGGTCGATTTCAATATTCACTGTGATTTGAACCAATCAGGTTTTAAATTGGGAGAGGGCGGCTATAATAATCTTTAAAATTGGTAAAAAGTGAGGTTAACCATTTGACAGATGTCATATTTTATTTATTTATTTTTGAAAATTATTTAAATATCTACTGATTGGAGTAGATTATATATAGCATTGTCTCTCGTATTATTATTTAATTATTATTATATCATATTCAAAAGTGCGTTGTGTTTAAAACTACTTTTCATTTATAAACTCAACTTTAAGTTTCGATTTTAATTGCTGCTATTTTAGCTCAAAATGACCATTGAAGTATTGAGACTGTTTCAGCATTATTAGTTTTAAAACAAACATGCCCGCAGAGAAGAGAAATAAAAGATCTTCTAGTTTGCCCACATTTATTGCACATTTACACACCACTTCAAAATTAAAGTAGAAATAACAAAATAACATCCCACAACGTAAAACATATTTCTGAAACATTTTGTTGAACGAAAATCCTGTTTTTTTTTCACTTGCTATTTTCACCCTTAATCTACAAAGACAAAATAATCCCACGTTATTTTGATAATTAAATTACTCGGTGCTTATCTGTTGCTTTTTTACGAAAACAATTTTGTTGTTAATGAGAGGTTTCAGCTATTCCTTTGAATACAAAATCCTTGTGTTATTTTTTAAAATAAGCAAAATTTAAAATAATATTTTCTCAGTTTGTTAATAGTTTAGTTTGTCAGTCAATTAAAGATTTTATGTCGTAAAATATCATTCCACTACACAAAACATGGTATTATATATTTATAACCACCTTAAATTTGGTATACCTATAATTTCAAAATGTATTTATATTTCAGTTTATCCATTAATTATTAAAGTGAATCGATGTAAAAGTAAGGTTAGGGATTGGAAATTAAATCGACCTATATTTACGGAGAGTTCCCATGTTATTCCATTTAAAAAATAAAAACACATTAGTTGTCCAATCTTTCGACTTCAATAAAAATAAGCCATATGATTGGCCAGTTTGGTCGAACGCTGTCTGCTAATTTATTTGTGCTATTTTTGGTACTTTATTTATCGGATATTTCGTAGAAATATCCGAAAAATAAATATAATTTTTTAAGTATAATTATACTGTGTGTTTCTGTAATTATGCCACAGATTTTCAGGTTCAAAACTATCATAAATCTTTTTTGTTTTTTATATTAAATTAAAAACTATTTAAAATATTTTCATGAAATCACGAAATTAAAAGGACAGTATTTATTTATTTTAATGATTGTATGACATTTGACAACTGTCAACTAACTTCAGCCCGTGACTAAAGTGCCTTAAAGCCATAGCTTTTATTGAAAACGTCATGGAAACATGTACGATAATGTGCGTTTTAAAGGTGGGAAAAAAAATTAAAAATAAAAGTTTATACTCGATAAAAATTAAAGGTGGGTACTTTAATTTCATAAAATCTCTGATAACCACTTAAACCTTTTATCTTTTTAAACATATTAATTACTAAAAGCGTATTTGATACGCCAGCTATCATATTCTTTTCTAAGCAATTTGACCAATTATACGTCAAATTAATGAAAAAGCTTTTTCGTCAAAGCTAAAATAAAGAACACAACGGTGAAATTTAATTAAATCTATAATTTGAAAAAAACATTATTAGAAAAGTTAAGTTATCATCTAATTATGAAGTTATTTTTTAAGAGTTTCAATATCCTTTACACGTGTTAAAGAAAATGTAAAACAGTTTTCTTTATGTTAAAAAGTAATGAGATATAAACAAGGTTTCTGTACTTTTCATTAGATTGTTAATTTTTATTTACGTAATTTTTTTAAACAATAAAAATTAATCATGTTATTATAATTGGGAGTTAGCATATACAAAAACTAATGTTTAATGTGTGAGCTGAGATTAACTAAGATTTCAATCAAAAATAACGAATTTATTATCGAACTTTTTTTTGGTATACCTATAGGTATACTTAATTTTATCTGTTACTTTGTTCAACATTTATTAATAAGTATTTTGTATAGTATTTCCTGTAATTGAGTGTAATCCCATTGATAATTGAGTGTTTATTTATTTATTTATAAGTCATTTTTTCGTACGAGGACAATTTACAAAACGAGCGACAAAGGTTGTCATGTAGCGTACTGTCGCTATGGACACAATACTAATGGAGCTAATGTGCTTATTATGTTATTTAAATAGAAAAATATTTTTGCCACTCCCACCTTTAATATCATACATCATTCTATGACACTGAGTAATTTTTTAAATAAACATGCTATGCCTTTATGGCACTTTAGTCACGGGCTGAAGTTAGCAACAGGTTTTTAATCACAGGCTGAAGTAAGTATTTGTTGTAGAAAAAATAAAGTATGCAACTCGTTTATAAACTTTTCTAGACAACAATCATTTAATTAAGAACGACAAGCTTGCGTATTAAATGTCGTTTATCAAACTTGATAAATAATATACTATAAAATAAAAAATGTGGAAAGCCGAAGCATTTTTTAATCTAATTAATAAAATTAACTTATTATTTTGATTAAACAACATTTTATGACCTCCGCGACGGTGCGTTTTAAAATATTATTTAGTTGCTGCTTAGGACCAGTAGACACATCTTAAAATGTATAATGGGTTGCATACAATAATCATATTAAATCGCCAGTAAAGTTCTACTTTACCGCCGATTTCTTTTACTTTATTTAATTATATTTATTTGCGTCGAAAATTTACAATAGAAATAGGAATTTTAAAATGTGCTAATATACAGGGTGATTCAAATAACTTCATTCATTAGAAATTTATGGAGAACGGAAAAAGATATCGATTTGAAATTTGTATAGCAATTATACTATTTCACCTTTGCTTTTTCAAATGGAACCATAAAAATGTTATTGTATTTTTAAATTCTACGTAAAATTCTAGAAATACTAAAATTTTATTTTTTTTAACTTTTTTGAGATATTACATTTTTTTAAAAACGTTAACAGGTGGATTGTCTGACTAATATGTCTGTATTACCACTAATTGTAATGTTAAAAAGTTAATTTTTAGTGTACCTGTTAACTAAGGAGCAATCTATCAGAAGCCATTAATAGTATTTAAAATTTTTACAGGGGGCCTGGTATTTATGTTGACTTTCTTATCACTTTAAATACCAATACCTTTCTTATTTTAAGCAAAACTCCCATACAATTTTCACATCATTCGACATAAAATAATTTTTTCTATTGAAATGCTACTGCATTCTCTATACCTTAAATAAATATTTACAGAGATATTACAAAAAATGCTCATATTTTTATTTGTAATATAAGTATTGTGCGTTGGATAGTTTTTATTTCTAATAAAACAATGTTAAAAAATTATATTAAAAAAATAAAAAAACAAATAAAACAAATCTAAAGTAATTGTTTAATAGTATGCAATAGTATATTCTGTAACAAGTTTGGAATACATCATATTCCGCTCGAGTGAAAAATTTGTCACACGAGCCGAATGCGAGTTTGACGGTTTCACGAGAGCGGAATATGCAATTCCAAACGTGTTTCAGACTATACTTTTTCTACGTTTCCAAAAAATACCATTGAAAAATAATATAAAATTTGTTAGTTGTTAACAACAGAGATGTCGCCACCAGTGTCATTCTGTAACACTTTACGGAATATATGTCATTCCATATATTCTCTAAAAAGTACCCAAAATCATTCAATATCTTAAACCTTAATTGTATTTGTCCATTTTTTACACATTTTATATATTTGCAACGTTGTCGTATGTGTATATTTTCTTATTTTCAGGTACGTCATAACAGCTCTGTGTGGCGCCAAATACTGCTACAGTCCCCCGTGGGTGGTAACCCTGGTTTTTTGGGTGGGCTACTTTAACAGCGCCCTAAACCCGCTCATCTACGCCTACTTCAACAGGGAGTTCAGAGTGGCGTTCAAGAAAACGCTGCAGAGCTGTTGCCAGATCACCTCCAAATTGGTTTGCTGGAAATGGAGGTCGCGCAGGGATCAACCTGTCAACTACAGCACCGCTTCCAGCGAGATGCATGGCAACAACTATTTGAGGCCGGATTTGAGGGCTGAGGCCATCGCACAGAGGTTTAGTCATAATATTTCCGAAAATGAGGTTATCAACTTGCAGAGTGAGGTTGTCATTTAAAAGGTGAGGATTTTTGAAATTTGGCAACACAGTAACATTTAATCCCCACTGAACACGGTATTAAAATAAATTGTGCATTACAGAACATCTAACCTTAAAATCTTAAGAATAACAATAAGAATGTACTCTCTTAAAATAATTTAGTCAAATTCTACTGAATGAAATAGTCAAATTAGTAGATTTAAATTTAAAAAAGTTTTGACCCAGCCAGGGATTGAACTCAGGTCTGTCGCTTGTCAAGCTGTTGTCATAACCCATTTGGCTATTAGTCGCTCTTATAAATATTGTGCATAATATTTTTAAGTTGAATATATTATTTGTGTTGCTGTTTTAAGCTAAACTTTTTGCATCTTTGTTTGTTTTTATGGGCCATTTAACCATGGAGCCTAGGTATATGCATTTAATTCAAATAATATGTACTTTGTTGTTGGCCGCAAACGATTAAAGAAATTGGTTACTTTTAAGTCTCAGAAATAGTCAAAGATGGTGACTAATCTTAAATTAGTCAAACTTTAACTATTTACGTAGTAAAAAATAACTATTTAAAAGTGAAAACGACTATTTTATTACATCGACGGCATATGACGTCAGCGTTAAGGTCTATTCATACGGGCCCAGGCTCGGGTATTGTTAACTGTTTATGGTGTTGGTTGTATACAACTTTTATACATTAAAATATTTCATTTAAATATTATTCAGAGGTACTATTTCATATTTCCTTCCTTATATATTTAATTTAAAAATACACAGGGTGTCTTATAATGTGCTGCTGTTGTAAACCTAAATAAAAATTATATTTGAAGTATGAACTTAAAATTTGCAACAAATTTGATTTCTATTGATTAAAAGGTCTACCTTACAAAATCTATTTTTATATTGAATAATTACTTAAACGGATAACCCTTACACAAATTAAATATAAAAGTGTTCTTGTTTTGCCAAAATAAACCCTTATCTTTCATTAAAACTTTTAATCAACATCTATTGAAGATAAAATTAGTTTTCAACAATCTTAGTTTTAGAACAATATAGGTACTTGTGAAACTGAATAAACCCAATTTTCCAACTAATTATACTCTGAGTGAAATTTTACGCAAATAGGTAATTATTAAGTTAAGAACACAAAATAGTAAACCAAGTTACCTATATTTAGTTTTGAATTACATTAAAACAGTATACTAATAGTATGCACAAAGCCTAGCCAATGTTTTTGGGACCTACTACTAATAATAAAAGTCTATGTTCCAAGCCATCAAAATTTTTTATATCGTCCAAAAGGCAGAAATGAATCGTCTTGAGGCCAATAAGACCAAAAAATAACCAAATACAAAAAGAATTAAAAGTAATCTTGATTTTTAGAGTGGATAAAGACGAAGCAGCTGACTCGGTAATATGTGGTTTTCAGAAGACATATCCAGTAAAATCATCAATTATTAAAGGCAAGGCCTTGTCTGTCTGACGCCACTCTTTTCAATGAAGAACAAGACTTTACCTTTACCAAAGATTCTGGGTATGAAGTTGTGGTATCGGCTCTCTTTTTTCTTGAACTCGCTCATTGCTTTTCCTAACTATCAATCCTGTCTTTGTCATTCTCCTCCACATCCACATCTCTACTGCTTCCAGATTCTCTCTGTCTTTCTTTTCCATTGTCCATATTTTACTGCCCACAAACTCTAAAGAAATGTCTTAATAAATCTCTTACGTAGGTATCATTTTATCTATGGTAGGTATGTCAATGCTAAGGTTATTAGTAATTATTAGTAAGTTTATTCTTGTTTTGGAATGACACCTTTGCTAATGCTATTCTTCTTCTGGTTAGACCTTTTCTTCTGAGCGTATCTTATGCTAACAATTCATGAAGCTATTAGCCATATTAGTTAAATAAAATTTATTACACTATATTATATGCTCATTTATATCTACATGGCAATAAAAAAATATCGTATACTGCTGTGAAGTGCGTGCAAAAGTCGAAATAAATTTGGCTTTATGGCCCTTTTTATGAATACATTTGGACTGATTGAAGACAAAATTGGGGTTTTGGAGCAATAACATTTTTTATTTATGGATTTATTTTTTGATTAAATACGCCCATAGAATACAATTTATTTTATCAATACAGTTCAGTTTTTAGTAGTAGGCGTTATTGGTAATGATATATGGCCTTCTTGTAAAACAATTTGTAATTTTATTATACAAGCTCTTATTTATTATATAGGCTGAGTTTAAGGTTGACGTTTTTTAATAGGCAATCAAATATTTGCTATAATTACAATAAAAGTTGATTAAACTACCATGGTAGTTTAATCACTGATATTTTAGCACATTTTTGGAACCATTTGGAGCTATGTTGCCAAATGTAAAATATTCATATTCTTTAGGAAAATTAATTAAACTCATTATACGTATATTAAAATAATTAATTTAAATTTTATTCATCTTTCATTTATGTTTGCAAAGAGCTTAAACAACAAAGAGTTCAATTTTTATAAATATCAAATACAAATTTATCCAAAAAGGTATAAACCTAAATCATTAACAGATATATGTTTGATGTGTAGCTGTATAACAGGCTCTTTGTTATACGCAAAATGGCCGTAGTGGCATACTGAACATTGTTATCCGATATCACAATGGATTCGGCCATTCGAACGTATTTAAATTGTTCTCAATGCAATGTACACAGTAAACTTAAATTAAATTGTTTCGTACAATAATTAATAATTAGTAAAAGCATATAGTTTGTTATGGAAAACATTTTGGTAATTTTAGGATATTAATCAGAAAGGGAACAAAAAATGTTATATGCATTTTGGTCAACTCTGAATTTTTAATTTAATCAAATATTACCGATATTGAAATAAAATGTAAATACAACAACATTGCATCAATTCACTAGCATCAATAAGAAAAAATCGTAGAATTGAGGTTAGGCATCTGTCACTTTCAGTAAAATTGAGGTTAGGTATCATGCACTACGCTTTCATCATGACATCAAATAGCTTTCAAATTGTTATAATTACTATTGTTTTTAAGTTACAAAAATAGTATATTATGTATCAAGGTTTATAGCTTATTAGGCACGATTTTATAGGTTTTGTAGGTTTTAAGTTTTGTTGTACCATTTTGTAAAATATAAATTAAAAAAACAAAGAAACTGTTAGTAATTATAGCGTTATTTTTACGTAAATTTGTGGTATTTATATTGTTTTTATTACGTTATTCTCTTAGTAGATCAAAAAGGTTATTATGTAGGTAAAATAACGAAATAAACCATTTCCCAAATTTGGTAATTGTTCGTATCTATAACGTTATAAAACCGTTTTGGTTAACCGTAAAAAATACTTTAAAGTTGACTTGGTAGTAAGTTTGTAGTTATTTCAACTTAAAATGCTGCTTGGGTTGTCAGTAAAAGCCCGTATCTACAAAATTTCCAAGGAAAGGCAAAGGTGCTATTTTTTTATTAAAAAATAAGAGTGAAATGAAAGATTGGAGTAAAACAATTTATTTATATTGCTTAGTAGTAGTAGTAGTAGTAGTACGGTTGGGTAGGCTCGAAGCCTGACAATTAGACTCCATGGTCCTTTTTATCTGCCCCTCCTAAACCAACCAGACTACTCCTCATCTTCCTCTTCGCCCATACCAGCCCTTTCGAATCTTCCAGACCTTCTTATAAAGGTCAGGATATCCTGCCAGGCAAGAGAGGCCAACTCTTCCCTTTGGAGTGTCATCACTCCAAAGATTTTATACCTTAGTCTGCCGAGGGCCTCACATTGTCCCAGGAAGTGAAAGGAGGTTTCATCCTCCCTTCCGCACTGGGTACAGGAGGGGCTGGTTTCAGCCCCTATTCTTGTGAGGTGTTTCCTTAGGCCATGACCTGTGAGTATATTCACAAGTGGGCCCAAGGAGGTTCGGCTTCTACCTAGAAGCCAGATGGATTTGGGTTTGCTTAGGGTGACCAGAAAATCCCTGGTCTGCCTACAGCCACCGCTTCTTCTCCAGCTTTCATTCGCTCTTTTATCAGCCCAATTATTTAGGGCTGATTTGACCTGCTTTCTCGTGATTCCAAAAATTGGTTCGGGTCCTACACAGGGGGTTTCAGATCCCAATCTGGCCAACTCATCAGCCCGTTCGTTACCCTCAACCCCACTATGACCTGGTACCCATACGAGATGCACTCTTTTTGTACTTGCTAGCTTTTCCAGCGCTTCCTCACACTCTTGAACCAACTTCGATGTGGTTCTCGCTGCCCAAAGCGCTTTCAGAGCTGCTTGGCTATCTGAGCAGATGTATATATCTGTCTCACTCCCTGTTCTTATATCCTCACAGTTTGCAACCTCAAGTATGGCAAACACTTCCGCTTGAAAGACAGTGGTATATCCTCCGAGCGGGTAGCTCCTTTGGATATCCCTGTCCTCCACGCAGAAACCTGCCCCTGAAGACAGTGTACTCGCCATACGAGAGCCATCAGTGTAGCACACTAGTGCATTTTGTGCAAAGTGTACATCCTTTTTCTCCCACTGCTCTCTTGTTGGTATCGTGAGGGAAAACTTCTTTTTTAAACTTAGGCGGTCTTTTGCTGGCATCGTTCTAATACTGCTAATTGGGACCTCCCTCTCAGCCATATCCGCGATGCCCTCATGACCATAAGTTATTCCTTTTCCTAACCAATTGTTGGCATCCCTCATCCTTAAATGGCTCGCCATTGCTTCTCTCTTTATCCAGAGGGAAAGATTAGGCAAGCTCAGCAAGGCCTCTAATGCCGTCGTTGGAGTAGTCCTCATTGCGCCTGTGATACCGAGACATGCCAGTCTCTGTATCTTGCTCAATTTTTGAGCGATGGTGGTTTTGCTCACACTGCGCCACCAGACCACTGATCCATAATGTATCCGCGGTCTGATGACAGCAGTATAAATCCAGTGAAGGACTTTGGGATTTACTCCCCAGCGTTTTCCCACCACCCGGCGCAGCTGCCAGAAAGTTGCAATCGATTTGTCAACAAC